TTGAAATTTACGTTTTATTATTATGTATATGAAAAAGTAATAAAAAATTAAATTTTCTCTAAAAAGTAAATAATTATACTCTACATCACTTTAGCACACTCCCCAGTATTATGTGTTTGTGCTGATGTTTGTAACAACCTAATATATTATTCCACCCACCTTAAAGTATATACCATTCGGCGAAAAATCACTTTCAACAAGATCAACAATCTATCAACCAAAATTTTATGAGGATCAATACATAATTCATCCTACCCCCATATAAGTTCTTCTTCAAAAAATTTCTTTGAAGCTTATAAGTGGCTTTATAATGTCGGTATAATGATGAAATCCGAATTGTTTGAGAATTTAGCCATAGTTGACCCTTTCCCGATATAAAGCTCTTACAGAAAATCACTTTTAATAGTTAATGAATCTTTTAAAAAGAGTTTCATTGTAATAGAATTCGAAAAAATTAATATTTGTTAAAATTGGGGAAGCTTGTTCTATAATTGATTCAATCCCTCATTGAAAGCCCTATCCCGAAAATCACCCTGACGTTAATGTAACTTAATGATCACCTATAAGATTTGGTGGGCATATAGTATTCGGCATAGCTGAATATAATACTCTTACTTGTTTTTCAAAAACAAATTCTTAATATTTTACAATTAAGATAAAAACCAACATAAATGCTTTAATACAAAATTAAACCATATTTTTAACATACTCATGGGTGTAGGGTATCATATGGTCGGCCGTGCTCGACTATACATTGTTACTTGTTATACATCAAAGATTGTTTTTGTTACTTCGTTTGTAAGAAATCGAAATATTTGTCATAGACCCACGAAGGTATGTATATTCTGTGTCCTTATTAAATTCTAAGACGATCTAGCCATGCACGTCTTTCTGTACGTCCGTCTGTCCGTCCGTCCGTCCGTCTGTCCGTCTGTCCGTCCGTCTGTCCGTCCGTCCGCCTGTCCGTCCGTCTGTCTGCTGAAATCATGATAGGTACCACAAGGGAGGAGGTCAATAGTTAAAATTTTGCATAAATATTCTCTATTGATAAGGTTTGTTTGGTATTGAAAAAAGGCATTATCGAAGAAGTCTGGCCTACTATCCAATAGTACTTGCAACTTGCAAATTTCATCCAAATCGGTTTTAAAAGTTTGACCTTGGACTTGACACGAAATTGCTTATATACATACATATATGCATATATACTCTGAATCCTAAGTTATGTTCATCCGTTCGTCCGTTTGCCTGTCTGGTGAATGATTGGTAAATTCAAATTTCTGAAGGCCAGGGTCCAAACTATGAATATTTCTATGAGTTAAGCTTTCGAAATATTTCAATATCCTTAAATTTAAGTTTATTATATGGAAAGTTTATTTAACATTTTCCTCTGAAAGGAAATTTCTCATAAATTTCCCTTAACACTTTCACGTATACGGTTATTTCCAAAGAAAAACAAGTTAGAGTGCTATATTCGGATGAGCCGAATCTTAAATACCCTCCACCAGCAACTTTTGTATTAATACATTTCTAATTAATAAAATATTTGTAGAAATAAGTTTTCTCATGTCTTAAACAGAAAATCCCAAGATTTAAACAGCTTAAATCTACTACAATTCCAAGATTTATTGAACATTAGAAACGCCACTTTCATTTAAATTTTTATAGCGCCCTAAGATATGCTTTAGCGATATCTCGTATTTGCATGTATGTATGTGTGTGAAAGATTTAAGGATTTTAAAAATACATACATATATATAATTTTGTTCTACACAAATTGATAATGCAAATAGTTAAATACGGTTAAAGCGCTTTTAGGGGCAGGACCTAGTATGAGAGATATGACCAAATATAGACCGATCGTGAAAATTTTTTGAAATAGCATTAAGTGCTTTTTGCATTACAAAATAGTATTAATGAACAAAAATAGTATTTATTTATATCATTATTTGGTAATGAGTTATGTGCCTTTAAGTGTTTTTCTGAAAGGGACCTTGTATGGGAGCTATGATCAATTATGGATCTATAGGAAAACAATTTCACAGTAATATTTCTCTGTATATGAGCAATATTTTTGCCAAACTTTATATGGATATCTTAATTTAGTAATGAGTTATGTGCGTTTAAGTGATTTTCGGGAGGGGAGCTATGACGAGTTATGGACCGATCGGAAAAAAAAATTATCTGTAATATTTCTGTGCATATGAGTAATATTTGTACCATATGGGTATCTTAATTACGTAATGAGCTATGCGCGTTTAAGTGATTTTCGGGAGGGGACCTTGTATGGGAGCTATGACCAATTATGGACCGATCGAAAAAAATGTTCACAGTAATATTTCTGTGCATATGAGTAATACTTGTGCCAAACTTTATATTGATATGGATATGGATATCTAAATTTAGTAATGAGTTATGCGCGTTTAAGTGATTTTCGGGAGGGGACCTTGTATGGGAGCTATGATCAATTATGGACCGATCGGAAAAAAATTTCACAACAAAATTTCTGTGTATATGAGTAATATTTGTACCAAATTTTATATGGATATCTTAATTTAGTTATGAGTTAAGCGCGTTTAAGTGATTTTCGGGAGGGGACCTTGTATGGGAGCTATGACCAATTATGGACCGATCGAAAAAAAATTTCACAGTAATATTTCTATGCATATGGGCAATACTTATACCAAATTTTATATGGATATATTAATTAAGTACTGAGTTATGCGCGTTTAAGTGATTTTCGGGAGGGGACCTTGTATGGGAGCTATGACCAATTATGGACCGATCGAAAAAAACTTTAACAGTAATATTTTCTATGCATATGGGCAATACTTACACCAAATTTTATTTGGATATCTTAATTTAGTAATGAGTTATGCGCGTTTAAGTGATTTTCGGGAGGGGACCTTGTATGGGTGCTATGACCAATTATGGACCGATCGAAAAAAAATTTCACAGTAATATTTCTATGCATATGGGCAATACTTATACCAAACTTTATATGGATATATTAATTTAGTACTGAGTTATGCGCGTTTAAGTGATTTTCGGGAGGGGACCTTGTATGGGAGCTATGACCAATTATGGACCGATCGGAAAAAACTTTTACAGTAATATTTCTATGCATATGGGCAATACTTGTACCAAATTTTATTTGGATATCTTAATTTAGTAATGAGTTATGCGCGTTTAAGTGATTTTCGGGAGGGGACCTTGTATGGGAGCTATGTCCAATTATGGACCGATCCAAAAATTTTTCCTCTGAAAGAATTCTATTGACATAGGATTTTATTTTGTAAAATTTTGTGAAGATATCGACATTGTGGCGGAAGTTATTAACAAAAAACCCATTTTCCGGGAATATGTACTTTTGTATGGGAGGTATATGAAATTGTGGACCGATTCTGGCAATTTTCAGCAGGGGTCAAGATCTTATGCAGAAACGAATGTATGGTGATTTCCATGAAATTATCTTGCATAGTTTTCGAGAAAACTACATCAGAATGTGTAAAAATGCTTATTTTTTCCGAGGTTGTTTTAAATTTTGATTCATAACTTTTCCCGATGTGAACCGATTTTGCCCATTTGCAATACCAAACAACTTAGGAAAATGAAGAACATTTTGGGTGAATTTGGTTAAACGCTATTGCTTCGTTTTATCGTGAGCGTGTTTTACACAGACAGACGGACAGACGGACAGACGGACATAGCTTAATCGACTCAGAATTTGATAAGGACCCAGAATATATATACTTTGTTGGGTCTCAGATGAATATTTCTTGGTGTTACACACGGAATGACAAAGTTATATATACCCTCTATCACCACTGATGGTGGTGGAGGGTATAATAAGTTATTTTGTAGAATTTGATGTCACTATATGCTAAAAAGGATAATATCCTGCGATATCCTTCGAAACCCCTTTTTCCATTTTTCATCAAATATTATCAATTTACGTCAAAATAAAGTGTGTGGTGAAATCATATCCATCAAGGTGCGTGAAAGAATTAAATAGAAAACTTATGGAAAATTGCCTCAAATAGAACATTTATTAACAATTTCCCACAAATAATATATTTATTATAAATTTCACTGAAAGAGGAACAAAATTCAAAATTACCCTTTATGTATTTTAAAATTAATTTTATACAAAAAATATTAAAAAAATATTCCTTTTCCTCTTTCCGCTATATAATACTTTCAAATGACAGATATACAGAAAGACAGACAAAATTTAATTATCTTGTGATACTTAAATTAGTTAAAATATGCAAAATTTCTGAACTATAAAAATACTGGGTGCTGATCTAAAAAAAATTATAAATATTTAATTTTTATCCACAATCCTTAACTACCAAAAACTACGCAGCAAATATTGTATAATAATATCTATCAATCAAACGCCCACTAATAAAATTCTATACATTTTTGAAAGCAACAAAATACAAAAAATATTTAACCCAATTTTATTTCTTACTTTCATCTATTAACAAATTATAAAAGAATATTTTCTAAAAGAAAAAGTTTATGTAGCAAAAAAAAAAAAAGACTTAACATTTTGTCCTCAAAAAAAAACTTATCTCTAAGTTAACACAAATTTCCAAATTTAAATATCTACCAGAAACTATCGAAATAAAACAAAGAATAGGAAAATTTATTCATAGATATTTTTACAGGAAATTGGTAAAGAAAAAAACTTAAGATAAAAAGAATTTAGATAGTTTTTTTTTATTCTATTTTATGCTAAGAGTTAGGCAAACAAAAATTAATAAATATTTACACATCAATAACTCTTACTTTCTATAATGTTTTACAAAAAAAAAAAAAAAAAAGTTTTTTTTCTTCAACTTCCTTTCTGTTATATTATTTTCTTTGTTGCTATGAAATAATAGATAAAAACTTAAACAATTTTAATCTTTTTGTATGAATTCTTTTTTTCTTCCTTTTTTTATGTGCCATGGCAAATATACTTTCATCAATATTATAACAACATAACTATATAGATTTAGTCCTGTTTGCCCACAACGTTTGCCAGATATAGCCAATCAGACAGCTGCCTTGGAACGTATGCCAAAGGGACGTTTGGAGTATTTAAAACGTTTACTGCCATATTTACAAAATCAATCAGAGGATTGTTTGTATTTAAATATTTATGTGCCCATACAAGGTAAGTGTGTTTTTGTACGGTTGTTTGTTTGTTTGTTTGTTTAAGAAAATCCCTTCTAAAATTGAAATCCTTAAGCCTAAAATTAAAATACAGTATGGCGAGAGCAAAAATAAAGTTTTAGAAAAATATTTTTAAAATGCTTAAGTGACAAACCATTAAGAATTTAAATAAATTCTTTTAACACTTAAATAAAGAAACATTTTTTTTTATATTTATTTAAATAAAAAGTTTTAGTTTAGTTGCTGAGACTACAAACTTCTGGCTTAAGATTTAACACTTATGTAAACCTTTTTTTTTCGTTTTTGCTGATATTTTCAGCCAACGTCCTTTAAAAGATTTAGAATTGTTTAATACTTTGTTATTTTAGGGAAATATGCATGACAAATACATACACACCAAAACTGTCAGAAAGATAAATGTTTTGACAGTCATTTTTTTCTTTCATAGTCATATAGAGAATTATGCAAATTGTATGACGCACCTTTGAAGACAAAAAAAAAAATAAATAAAAGAAAAGAAAAAATAAATAAGTATGTATGTATGAAAAAAAATACTAACAACCTAGCTATACGAAAAAAATCGAGAGCCAACATATGTTAGCCTACCTTAGTTTAGTAGGCGAATGATTAATGGCCTATTTCACATGGGTATAAAGTAATTTCTGTTTTGAATTACTTTTCTTTGCCAAAATTTTCCCTTCTGATGGTGAGGGTATGTGTTAAGAGGATAAATGTGTTTCCAAGAAAAATAAACTGGTTAGCATATCATCATTAGATTTACCAACAATTTAAGAAAATTATGTCAATTAGTGTATGTTGTTAGGGAAATTGTTTCAAAGTGCTATAAATTTATTTGTATTTATAGATATATTAAGTTTTTCTTAAAGGTTTAATTCGATAGAAGTTATTTGGAAAATTGTTTCGTAATGCAAAAAATCACTTAGTGTAGAAAATGATAGCTATACTAAGTTATACACTGGCGGTATGCATTGACATCGAAGGCGCCTTCAATAAGGTGCACACTGATACTCTTATTCAATCCCTAGACCAGTTTTATGTTCACCGGGTGCTCCGTAACTGGATCAACTATAAGCTAAGTAATAGATGGATAAGTATTTCGCGGTATACCACAGGGTGGCATTTTGTCACCTTTACTCTGGTTTACCACGATTAATAGCCTCCCAAGGACCCTAACCGAAAAAGGACTTAGACCTATCTGCTATGCAGACGATGTCGTAATACTTTTAAAGGGAAAGTATCCAAATTATTTGTGTAAAAGAGCTGACGAGGCTCTGAATACGGCCTTGAGCTGGGCTCAACTGAGAGTCTTTACAAGAAAGACAAAAATTTCTACATATACATGGTGGACTGCTTTGGACAAAAAGTATAATATTAAACTACTACAGGGAGTTCAGCGTACATGCTGCTTGGGTATAAGTGGTGCCATCTGTACTACTTTAACCAAGGCTCTGGAAATGTAGCAAGATATTCCACCCATTGAAACTTATTTAAGATATGAGGCGGCGCTTACAGCCGAACGGCTCTTTACTTTAGGCGAACTTACCAAAAGCGGTTATAGTACATGCCATCAATGTATACTGGATACATTGGAAGGTTATACACAATCATTGAGTGTGTCTGATCGCATACCAGATACAGAATATGTCGAAAACTTTGATCCCAGATAGTACGCCTTGGAACATTATAGCAAATACCAGTAGGAATCTTTTGTTACACGGATGGCTCTAAGGTTGGGGACAAAGTGGGAATAGAGTTCCATATGAAAGACCAGAAACATAAATATAACACCGTTTACGTAATCATAACATAAGCTTCCATGTGATAGAATTAAAACTAAGATTGTTTTGGATTGCAAGACAACTTTAACTGAATATTCTCCCAGTAAGGTTTACATCATATGGGTACCAGGCCATTCGGGAGTAGTCGGCAACGATAGGGCGAATGTAATAGCTTAAAAGGGAAGGGAGCTCGAGGATATTGAAACAAAGGGTAGAACCACAAAGATCCTATCGAGTGACCCTGATGAAAGCAACTCGAGAAATCTCCTCAAAATGAGCAAGTTGAGGTTAATATGATGATACGTACTCTGAGTGGACACACAGTGGACACGAGTCGAAGTTAGATCCAAGTATCTTGGAAGTGTTGTTATTACAGAAATAACATTACTGACTAAAACTAATTGGAAAATTCTTAGGAATTTCGTCCAGGAAACTGAGATTCTGAACATTGAAAAATAATATATGCAGTGAACAATATTTGTTCATGAAAAGGTGAGCACAACAGGCCACATACTGGCCTAAGTGTATTTCTTTCATTATCCAACTTTTTCTAGAATTACAACTTTTTGGAAATAAATCTACGAATTTTTAAAAAAATCCAAATTTGAAAAAATAAAAATTATTTTTTTTTAAGAAATTTTATTAGAATAATCTTTAAAATATGTTGAATGTTTTATTAAAACATTCTTCATATATCATATTGTTGTTTACACTACTGTAAGTTAATTATTTAAACATTTTTTATCCCATCATTTTCAACCGCAAATAACAAGTGTATAACACTTGATTATGCGTATACTTAATATTGAATTATTATTTATTAATCATACGCCTACATAACCAAACCTCTCATAAACCAAAAAAGTATACTATATTTTTTTGTATATGTGTATTCGAAATCAATCAGGCGGCCAATGTTATGGTTAATTGTATTTAATTAAACTGAAATTAATTTAGATTAATTAATAAAAATACACACATACATAAAAATGTATGTTTGAATATGAAAAAAAAAAAAAATAAATTCATTAAGATTTTTGAATTATATTTGTATAATAAACAACATTTTTTGATTAATTATTTCTAAACAAATATTAAGTCTTGTGGAAATTATAAGAAATTTCAATATAATTTAGTCTATTTAAATAAATTTCAAATGTTAGAATTTATGGTTTCATATAACCAAAGCCATTGAACTTTTTAGCAAATTTATTAAAATATTATAATTTTTTTTTTGTATGCAGAAAACACCTACATAATATTTATTTTAATTTGTTTGTTCTTTTTTCTTTATTGTTTGGTATTTTAATAAATTATAAAGTCTGGCATCACCATGAGCTAATGGTCGTGATTTTTGTTAGCTGAGCAAATAAAAGAAAATAATTAAAAGTTTTTGTTGTTAAATATTTAAATTAATGTGGATTTTTTAACAAACAATCTTTTATAACAAAGATTTATTGAAAACATTGAGTAAATTGTGGATTTACGAATAAATAATACATATCGTTTTAAATAGTTTGCTGCATTGTTTTGTTGTTGTTGACCTGCTGTTGTTGTTTTGCACTTGGCATCCATTTGGTGTGCATACATTTTTTTTCCATTGTTTACAATTAAAATCATTGTTTTATACACTGTCTATGATGCCGGGAAAAAAGAAGGAGACATTTTTGTGCAAATGCAATAAGAATGTTACTAAGACAAATAGCAGTGTGGGCTGTTATATATGTGGATCTTTTTTCCATATAAAATGCGTTAATGTGACAGATGAGCAGCACAAATTGTTTTGCCAAAACAGAAACGTTTTTCACTATATTTGTGAAACATGCAATGAAGCTCCCAAGAACAAATATTCATCTAACTTGTCCTTAACAACTGATGATATACAGCAAGAACTGCATAACATATCTATGGATATTGGTGTACAATTCGAAGAACATAATCGTATTTTTGAGAAACAAGTATATTCAAGTATTGCTGCACTTGAGCAAAAAATGATTGAATTGTTTGATAAATTTCGTGTAGAGCAACAGGAGAAAATAGAGCGGCTTATCAATGAGAAATTTATGGGTGCTACTATTAACCAGGATACCAATTCAGTTCATAAGCGTCTAGATGAATTAGAAATCAATAATAGCATACTGCAAAGAAGGCTAAATAGAACTGATATCATAATAAAAGGTTTACCAAAAAATATAAAAAATTTGAGAGTTCCAATTTATAAAATTGCATCTCTTTGTGGTTCACCAATCCAACATGGTGGTTTGCAGCATTGTGCTTATATACATAATGGCAGATCAGTTTTGGTAAAACTAAACTCTGTACAACAGCGAGACCTTATTATGATGAGGTTTTCAAAAAAGCGATTTCTTGTGCTTAAGGATGTTATTGGTGGTGATCTCACTTCCAAAGTTTTCCTGACTGATCACCTGACACCAGCAGCGGCCAAATTATTATCATTATGTAGAGATCTTTGCACGGAACATAAAATCCTTAGGTATAAATACATTAATACAGATGTACCTAAAGTAAGAGTATTGTTGCCTAATAATAAACAAACAGTTCTTACTACTGAACAATGTATTACTATGCTTGATGAAGATCTGTTTGTAGGCGATATAAGTAGTGAGCAGAACGCCAGGATGTTAAATGCCGAAATTGGGAATAATGAGTTGCCTTCAATGAACTTTAATAAATCATTCATTACGGGATTTACCACCTCATAGTCAAATGCTTGCTGAAACTTATATAAAGTTAATGTTTTTATACGAGATTTGTTGGTTGTAAATTTATTATTAATTATGTTATTCTTATGTACTGTGGAATTTTAATATATGGATTGCAAAATATAAATTTTAGTTTATTTTGTTATTGAACTGGTTGATTGGCCTTTGTTGTTAAATAATTATTAAGTAATTGATATATTGAAATTCCATTGTGTACTTTATTTGTATTTTTGTTGTTTATGTATTATCTTTTATTATTTGCTTAGTTAATTTTAATGTTATTATAATTCTCACAAATTTAAAATGGATGTTAGATCTAATTTAGGGCCTGTTGTTTGTGATAACAGCTTTCTTACAACTGAATTAAGTCATTTAAATGGTAATCTTAATATAGGACATTTAAATTGCACAAGTTTAAATTTAAAGCCTAATTCGTCAAAGTTTAGCGAGATTAAGCATATTTTGAATGGTGGAATTTTAAATGTTTTTGGTGTTAGTGAAACGTGGTTGAATGATGCAGTCTCTGTTGGGGTAGCTGATATTCCTGGTTATCTTTGTTATAGGAATGATCGAGCATATGGAAGAGGAGGTGGTGTAGCCTTATACATTTCTAAGTACATTGAACATAAAGT